AGTATGCTGTTTTTAAGTCCTTTGGGAATGGACTGAGGAGTGGGATAGCTGGGTCAAATGGTGTTCCATTCCCAGTTTTCCAAGGAATTTCCATACTGCTTTCCATAATGGTTGCACCAGTTTGCAGTCCCATCAGCAATATATGAGTGTGCCTTTTTCCCCACATCCTCACCAACACTTATTGTTTGTATTCTTTTTTTTTTTTTTTTAAAGAGAGAGAGAGAGAGAGAGAATTTTAACATTTATTTTTTAGTTATTGGCGGACACAACATCTTTGTTTATATGTGGTGCTGAGGATCGAACCCGGGCTGCACGCATGCCAGGAGAGCGCGCTACCGCTTGAGCCACATCCCCAGTCCCTTGTTTGTATTCTTTTTTTTTTTTAAAGAGAGAGAGAGAGAGAGAAATTTTGATATTTATTTTTTAGTTATCGGCAGACACAACATCTTTGTTTGTATGTGGTGCTGAGGATCGAACCCGGGCCGCACGCATGCCAGGCAAGCGCGCTACCGCTTGAGCCACATCCCCAGCCCCCTTGTTTGTATTCTTAATAGCTGCCATTCTAACTGGAGTGAGATGAAATCTTAGATTAGTTTTGGTTTGCATTTCTCTAGTTGCTAGAGATGTTGAACATTTTTTCATATATTTGTTGATTGTGTATCATCTTCTGAGAAGTGTATTCAGTTCCTTGGCCCATTTATTGATTGGGTTATTTGGGGTTTTTTTGGTGTTTATCTTTTTGAGTTCTTTATATACTCTAAAGATTAGTGTTCTATTTAATTCATATCTAGTCTTTTGAGGAACCTCTATACTGATTTCCATAGTGCTTATACTAATTTACAATCATTTCAACAGTGTAAAAGTGTTCCCTTCTCCACATCCTCTTCAGAATTTATTATTGTTTGTTTTTGATGGCTGGTATTCTGACTGGTGTAAGATGAAATCTCAATATGGTTTTGATTTGCATTTCCCTAATTGCTAATGATTGGAACATTTTTTCATATATTTATTGGCCATTTGTATTTTTTCTTTTGAGAAATGTCATTTAATTCATTTACCCATTTATTAGTTGGGTTATTTGGGGAGGGAGTTATTGTTGTTTTGCATTCTTTATATATTCTGGATATTAATTTGGCAGAAGAATAGTAGCAAAGATTTTCTCCCATTCTGTAAGTTCTCTCTTCACATTCCTAATTATTTCCTTTGCTGTGCAGAAGCTTTTTAATTTGATGTCATCTCATTTATTAACACTTGGCATTACTTCCTGAGTGTTAGGAGTCCTACTGAAAGTTGTTGCCTGTGCCTTTATGCTGGAGTGTTGGCCCTACGTTTTCTTTTAGGACTTGCATAGTTTCTGGTCTAATTCCTATGTCTTTGATCCATTTTGCGTTGATTTTTGTGCAGGGTGAGAGATAAGAGTCTACTTTCATTCTTCTATGTATGGATAACCAGTTTTCCCAGCACCACTGGTTCAAAAGCCTGTCTTTTCTCGAGTGAATGTTTTTGGTATATTTGTTAAGGATCAGATGATTGTAGATATGTGGATTTGTCTCTGTGTTCTTCTACTCTGTTTCATTGGTTTTATTATTTTGTCATGAGTTCCCTTCAGATATATGTAGAAATTCAGATCATTTATATGCCTACCACATTCTCATCATTTATTATATCTTGAATTAAGATAAATATTTTAGTGAATGAATTTTTTACATTTTTATTTAAAAGAAAAACTGAATCCTTAAAGATGTGTAAATTTAATTCTGTATGAATTGGGTATTTTATAGAAATATTAAAATAATGGGAAAATTATTTTACAAATACTTGTATAGAAGTGGGGGGTACCAAGGTTGAACTGGGAAAAATAGTCTCTGAGCTACATCCCCAGTTCTACATGTTTTGTTAAACTTCGAAAATATTGAGAAGCATAAAAAGAACTTAAAATTTGTCCTTCATTCTACCACTGAGAAATTACCACATTTAACAATTTAATCTCTCTCAGAAGAAATCATGTTTAATCTGTATCCTCCTTCAACTTTCATATAAAATGCCTTTTTAAACCTATTTTATTAACATTTTTACACTTAGAATACAAATTTTTTTAAATTTACTTTTTTATTTTTTGTAGTTGTAAAATAGACAGAATGCCTTTATTTGTTTATTTTTATGTGGTTCTGAGGATCAAACCCAGTGCCTCACACATGCTAGGCAAGGTCTCTGCCACTGAACTATGGCCCCAACCCCTTTTTTATTTAAAAAAAAAAAATTGTTATATATGGACACAATACCTTTGTTTGTTTGTTTGTTTTATATGTGGTGCTGAGTATCGAACCCAGTGCCTCACACGTGCTACACAAGCACTCTACCACTGAGCCACAACCCCAGCCCTAGAATACAAATTCTTATTTATTTATTTATTAGTTTTTTAGATTAATACAATATCTTTATTTTATTTTTATGTGGTTCTGAGGATCGAACCCAGTACCTCATGTGTGCTAGGCGAGTACTCTACCACTGAGCCACAATCCCAAATTTAAATTTAAATCCCAGTTTTAAATTCTTAAAACTCTTATTTTTACCTATTTATTTTTTTGGGGTACTGGAATTTTTTTGTTTCCCCTTTTTGAAACAGGGTCTCCCTAATTTGCCCAAGCTTGCCTCAAATATATAGTCTTCTTGCTTTAGCCTCCTGAGTTGCTGGGATTGCAGATGTGTTTGCTACTGTGCCCAGCTTAATTCTTAAACTCTTCTTACTCCAGTGCATTCTGGCGTGTTTATACATTCCCAGATACCACTTATTATTTCTCCATGCCTTTCCACCTTTCCTGTGTTAAAAAATATGTTTTCCTGCCTTGTGCATCTGGTCAACTTCTATTGTTCCTTTAAAATCCAGTATATAAACCATCTTTTTTTGAGAAGATTTCTTTGCCCCTTAACACTTCCATATAATATAAATGATTTCATCCTATATCTATAAATCTCTTATGTGTTATTATATTCTATTGCAACCTTATATGTGCTTTCTATGTAAAAGATGTGTATTTTTTAAAGGGCACTTTTATAAACTTGATGTATAAAAAACTAAACATTTGTTCAGCTAGATTTCTGTAGAGAACAATGACTATTGAAAATATGGATAGGACTTTGAAATCACATTAATTACAGTTAATAACCAAAATTCCATTGTTATATCTAACAAAATTAATAATAACTTTGTAGTTCATATCTAAATTTCCCCTATTATCTCAAAAAAGTCTCCCACCCCCTCAGTATTGGGGATTGGACCCTGAGGTGCTTTACCACTGAGCCACATCCCCAACCCTTTTTTAAATTTTGAGACAGGGTCTAAGTTGCTGAGGGCCTTGCTGAGACTGGCCTTGATACTGTGATCCTCCTGCCTTAGCCTCCCAAGTTGCTGAGGTTACACTGTGCAGGGCAAAACAATACTCTTTACAGTTGGTTTATTTGGATTGAAGCCCAAACAAGGTCCATACATTTGGCTAATTGCCTTTTAAGCTTTCTTTTCTATCAGTACCCTTTACCTTATTTTAATTATGAGTTGAATCATGCTCTATAGAAATGTCTAAATTCTGGGTTTGGCTGATTATATCATCATGGTGTCATTTATATTTTCCTCTCTTCTACTTGCTATTTTCTATAATATATTTTCTACAAACTGATAGTTAGATCCAGAAGCATGATTGTATTTAGGTTCAGTTTTTTTTCTTTCAGTTTTTTTTTTCGAGGATTTTTCATAAGGGTTACTGTATACTTCCTTTTGCATTACATTAAGACATTTATAATGTGTTATCCCACTTTAAGGTAATATTAATATTAGTTGGTAGATTCAAGTCTTGTCAATCCAGTCATCCAATAAAAGTTCTCCTTCAACCTTTTTTTTTTTTTTTTTTTGGTACCAGGTATTGAACCCAAGGACACTTCACCACTGAGCCACACCCCCAGCCCTATTTATTTATTTATTTATTTTTTGAGATAGGGTCTTGCTAAGTTGCTTAGGGCCTCAACCTCCTAAGCCACTGAAATTACAGGCATGTAGCACCACACTCATCTTCCTTCAACTTTTAAAAACTGGACTTTATTATATATTTTTCTATATAAATTATTTACTTATTTATAATACTTTCCAATTTTCCATAATGAATTATGATGGTCACCCAGCCACTATTGATTTATTGTACATAGTCTCTTAACTTTTTATGAGATTATCATAGTTTTTTGTTTTTCATTTAAGGGTTGGTTCCATCTGGAATGTACCTTTGTATATGGCATAAAATGGGGTTCCATTTTTATTGCCCTCTAGATGGTTGGCCAGTTTTCCTGTATTATTTATTTTTGTCTTATCTCCATTGAATTAACTAATGCTTTGTTCTGCATATGGGTGTGTGTGTGTATGTGTGTGTGTGTGTGTGTGTGTGTGTGTGTGTCTGTGTCTGTTTTTGTCTCTCTCCCTCCCTCTCCCCCCTCCCCTCCCCCTCCCCCCTCCCCCCCCCTCTCTTTCTCTGTCTTGCTGGGGATTGAACTACTCAGGGCCTCATGAGTGTTAGCTGAGTTCTCTACCACTGAGTTATAGCCCTTTTCTGGCTTAAAAACCTAAGTAGGATCTGAATTCATTCTGATTCTGTTTCACCAATCTATTCCTACACCAATATTTATTTTATTTATTAGAGTGACATTTTGGTATCTGATAAAGCTGATTTCCTCTCACTCATTTGCATTTTCCAACAACTTCTTACCTGGTGGATTTAGCAACCATCCATGATAATTGTCTTAATTTATTATTTCAATAGAGGTTATTGCTTTTGTTTTTAAGAACTTGATTTTACATGTTTAGAAATAACAATTATGAATCATTTTATAGTACATCTTGAAATTATAAATATGTATCAATAAAATAGCTACTTTTAAGCTGAATACTTAATTGCTTTCTTAGATTTTTAAAAAATAAATTGCTTTATTTTTGCTTCCCTCTCCTAATACCCCAACAGATTGAAGAAGAAATGTTGGCTTTGCAGAATGAACGAACAGAACGAATACGGAGCCTGCTAGAGCGTCAAGCGAGAGAAATTGAAGCTTTTGACTCTGAAAGCATGAGACTAGGTTTTAGTAACATGGTCCTTTCTAACCTCTCCCCTGAGGCATTCAGCCACAGCTACCCGGGAGCTTCTGGTTGGTCTCACAATCCTACTGGGGGTCCAGGACCTCACTGGGGTCATCCCATGGGTGGCCCACCACAAGCTTGGGGCCATCCAATGCAAGGTGGACCCCAGCCATGGGGTCACCCCTCGGGTCCAATGCAAGGGGTACCCCGAGGTAGCAGTATGGGAGTCCGCAATAGCCCCCAGGCTCTGAGGCGGACAGCTTCTGGGGGACGGACGGAGCAGGGCATGAGCAGAAGCACGAGTGTCACTTCACAAATATCCAATGGGTCACACATGTCTTATACATAACTTAATAATTGAGAGTGGCAATTCCTCTGGAGCTGTCTGCCAAAAGAAACTGCCTACAGACATCGTCACAGCAGTCTCCTCACTTGGGTACTACAGTGTGGGAGCTGAGTGCATATGGTATATTTTATTCATTTTTGTAAAGCATTCTGTTTTGTGTTTACTAATTGGGACGTCATAGTATTTGGCTGCCGGGTTTTTTGTGTTACTGTGTGTGTGTGTTTTTTTTTTTTTAACTTTTGGGCAAATTTTGAAAAGGGTAATTGATATTAAATATCTCATGCATGTGGTAAAAAGAAATTGGCTGGATAGAGGGGGTATTTTCTGAACACTGCAGAAATAAAATGCAGCAAAGTGGCTTGAGTCATCACTTGAGGGTATCCATATCCTAAGAGTTTTGAGAAGATCTAAAGTGTTCTTCGAGTTCTTATGAGCCACTGACAGCAGGCAGCCTATGCTGAAACAAGGTATTATTGGAACACACCTGCAACCCCCACCAAGGAATTTTTTTTGTTAAATTGGTTTGACTTCTCAGCCTGATTTGGAGTGAAAAAGCAGAAATCCACAAACACTAAGGGATTATATTGGTCATTTCAGATGGTAGAAAATAACTTACTTCTTTTTCTGAAAGCTTCATAAATTTGTCAATGATTTTTGTTCATTCAGTTGTGCCTTCTTTGTGTCACAGTAAGATGGGGTTGCTTAAAGAAACTACAAGTTGTGTGAGGAATGCATTAATAAACCTGTGAGCCTTCAAAGGGGTGAGACAGTTCCTAGAAAGTTCATCTGATAGGTATGTCCAGCAGCCTAGTAAGGAGAAGAAGCCTGTATATCCTGACATTTTGTTGCTTATACTGTGATATCTCATCCTAGCTAAGCTCTGTAAGTTTTAAGACCCCAAACAGTACTTTTACTTTGTGCAAAAACAAAGACATAGCCAATACAAATCAAATGCCAGAGGTATTTGAATGATGCCATATTTGCAAATTGCCATCTATTGGAATACTCATCACACTACATAGACAGAATTTGATTATTCCCTTTTGGCTTATGGGATTTCCTGTTTACAAGTAGAATAGTCGATTATTTAAATGTTTAGTTGCCATAGTGAACCAGGAGTCACTGAGCCAATGACTACCAGCTGCTGACTAATCCTCATCACCACTGTAGATTTTGCTGCATATGCAGGTCCTCTTATTTTTTAATTGCTGTTTTTGTTGCTGCAGTACTTTACAAACTTCTAGTTCATTGAGACTTAGTAATCATTTTGGATCATGTTAACATCACACAGTAGGAAACACCACTTCCAGAAGTCTCAAGCCTCAGAGCTGAAATACTACTGAAAAGGAACTAGGAGGTTTGCTAAATGAAAAAAAAAAAAAAAAAAAAAAAACCCAACAAATAAATAAATAAAAGTAAGTTATAGTGGTCAGGGAATCTCTTGACAAAAGCTAACTTTTTTTTTATTTTCGGGGAGTTGGGGGTCATGTTTTTTCTTTTGTTTAGTGTTTTGTTTTATTTTACAATGAAGGATCAACCCAATGTTGAAAGTCAGATGTTACTTGGTATTCCACTGCTTGTATGGAAGTTGAGTTGGAAGTGGGTGGGGAGCTGTGAATATGACTTGAAGAAAAAAAAAATGTCCTTTCTGTGACAGATCAGAGTTTCTTACAAGTTGATGTCCTGCCCGCTCCCCAGTTATCTTGAAAGACTTGCTGCTAACTCTGCATCCTGCTTTTCATGTAGTCAGAGGGCTCCAAGGTAGAACTCTACACGTCCCTCAAAATAAAACTCTTCACCTAGACCAGACTATTGACCAAATTGTAATATGTCACTAAAGTCTTGATTTTCTCAAATTTTAAATCTTCCCTGGGTATGTCAGTCCAGTCTCCAAGAATCCCCCCTTTAGGAATTTCTGACACTGATTTGAAGGTGAACAAGAAGAAAAATTAATATTTTTATATAAATCCTTTAAAAATCAAATCACAGTGGAATTCACACACACTTCTAGACAGTGCTTTAAGTAGCGCACTGATACATTGTCCTCTTCGCTGTGCTCCAGATCACCAGTTTTTAGATAAATATGTGTACTTGCTCCATCTACTGAAAAGGACTTTTAGTCTTGATGTTCTTTTTTCCATTCAGATATTATAAGGTCTTTCAAGCAAGCAGAGAAATCTTCCTGTTTGGAGGAAAATAATAAGAGCTTCAGAATTTAACAAAATGCCCCAAAATATAGAATACCTTTAAATGCACCCTTCTTAGATATGGCCCTTCTCTACTACTGCAGAGATAGAATAGGAAAGCAGATCAGATTTGCATACAAAATTCTTTTAAACCTAAAATACTACCAGTAATACATTTTAAAGTCCAGTTGTGAACTTCAAATAGTCAAATTGAGTCACTTAAGTTCATTGAAATCATATGTACTTTTATAAAAGTGTGATTGAATATTGACTCCCAAGTGTCTATCCTGAAGGGCTTTGTATGTAATTTAATTGTATGGCAACCAGTTTATATGTAGGTTATGACTATACCTGGATTATGCCATTAAACTAATCTTAATTAAAGTATGTAGTCTGCAAAAATGATTCAAATTGGTTCATTTATGTTTATGAGATCTAACTTGTGAGGAATCTCATACACAATAGGAATCATCACATAGTGAAACTGGTAACAGGAAAATTTGAACGGTTTTGATGAGCTATCCTAAGGAAAGAGCAAGCACTTTCTGAATCAGTGTGCAAATGTCAACATTTGATCAAATTAACACTACCTCCTCCCTGGTGTTGGTGTTCACTTATATATACATGTGCGTGCGTGTGCGTGTGTGTGTGTGTGTGTGTGTGTGTGTGTTTAAGAAAATTTTAAATATGGGAAATTTATGTAGCATATCAGAGGTTGTAAATGCTATATCTGGTATCCAGAGCCTGGCAGTGAAAGTCTTCTTGTGTTCACCTTCTCCATTTTTTGGGCTAGCATTTTAAAAATGCAAAGCCTCATATACCTTGAAACATTTTATTCCTAATTAGGTTCCCTCCCCTTTGCACATATTTTTTTCTCCCCTTTTAAACTCAACTCTAACCCCAAATTAGAGTATCTGAAAGCATTTTCATTATGTAGATAATGTTAGCTAAAAAATGTTTATATTTTTATTAAGAGCTGCCATTCTTTTGAGGCACATAGTCCTACATTTGAAATCATACCCACAGGTGTAATATGCTAAGTACCCTAAGTCAAGGAATTATTAAATTGAACTTCTTGGCATAGTCATTATGATTTTTGACTGGACATCATGTAAACATCATTCAAAACACTAAAAAACTGTCCTGGACACTCCCCTCCCACTTCCACCACTTTTTCCTCACTGCCTTTTCAAAAATTGAAAACTCTGTGTCTTTTTCAAACCATAAGGCAGACTTTCTGCTTCTGTAAGTACTAAATGTCTGGCATTTTAAACTTTTATAGAATTCATTGTGTTAGACACTGGAATAATACTGTTTATTTTCACCTGTGAAAAATGACTTTATTGTACTTGAAACACCTCCTTTGCATTTCTCCATTTGTGCCATTCACTAGTGGAAATAAATTGTATTATACCATGATCTACTGGCTTTTAAAAACTGTGTTAAATATGCACATTTTTGGTATAGCTATTATCATTTGTATGTATATATTGTATATACATATGAGTGTCTATATGTGTGTATAAATGGATGGATGTAACTCATACATGTACATTTCCATCAGGGCACTTAAGGTTCTGTTTGTTGTTGTTGTTGTTTCTGTTGTTTGTTTGCTTTTGTTATTTCAGTCCTCAGTTATGGCCAGAATGCATGTGTTTTAAAGAATGTGTACTCTGGGTTGATATTTATGAGAAGATGACAATTTGTGCAGTCTTCTCCTTTTTAATCCCCTCTTAGCACTTGTGTGAGTGGAGAGAAACTTAAGTAAAATATGGACCCATAAATTGCAATGCAGTAAAATTGTTCTGGGGAAAGGGCCAGCTAGTGTTTCTTTGAGTTTATGTTATGATACAATAAAAAGGTAAATGATGCAGAGAGAAATGAACTGTGAAAAGGAAGAACACTGGTGGTGATTCCTCTGCAAAGATGATAAAAAGAACCAATAAGTCACAGAGTCTTTATGTACTTTTTTGCATATATTTCTTAGTTGTGATACCATTGATCCTCTTCCTTTTTTTTAACCCCATTAATAGTAGCAGTTATATATTTTGTTGAGGATCAAAACAGCCAAAAAAGGAATTACTACGAAAGCATCTAAGGTACTCCTAAAGCATAAAATCAACAGGAAATGGCCACTGGGAGAGAAGGATATGGTGTGAGGGACTTTCTCCTTTTAGCTGCCTCTTCTTGCTTGCTAATAGTAAGTTCTTTGTGCACCTTCCACCCCTTCTGAGCCACGACTATTCAAGCAGAGATTTGGCCCAACACAGCACCCTTGGAGGTTTATACAGTTCTGCATTTTGTCGTATGCTCAAAATGTGAAGTGTCCTAGTGTGTATTCAGTCGGAAAATAATTTATTTAAGGTGTGTAAGTGTGAATCTCCTATAACGATGGAAGAAGAGATTCTCATTTTTTAGAGCCTTCTTTAAGGAATAAAGCCAGTATTTGGGCTGTCATCTTTGAGCTGCTTACCAAAATATAGATCATTATTGAAGAGAAATTCTCCATTTTGTTCTCCCCCATCAGACATGATACTATTCCCACCTAGGTATAGCATTGCCTTTTAAAAGGCACGTGCTCATTCTTAATTGTTAAGAACTGGAAATTTCCCATCCTCTGTAAAGGATGAAGAGTGTGCTGTTCATTTAGCATACTTGCCTTTTAAATGCAAGGACTACTGATTGAAGTCTGTTTTGCTGTGTCTGGTTATGTTAGCTGCACTTTTATGCAATCACTACAGTAGATCTGCATTGGAAATGACTATTAATTTGTAAAGAAGTAAGTTTTATTAAACACTGTCTAGAAAAAAGTGAAGCTGAGAACTCTTCCTCTTTTGTGCATTTGTATTTTCTACTGAGTTTTGGTAGCCCTCTTTAAAGTTGTATTGATTTTTTTCCCCCTTCTTTGTTTATATTCAGATTTCCAAAATTTCACTTTTACAAGGAATAGAACCTATTTGGCCTAATGGTACTCTTCAGATCATAACAAATATATAAATTATGCACCTTATTTGCCTGTTGTGAGTTTCTTAAACTTGCACTTCCCACCCACCCGAAGATAGATATATTTTTTAAAAAAGAGGCAGAGAATTAAAACTAGGGAGACATGTGCTTTGTCACCATCACTGTTAATTGTTTCCCAGTGATCCAGACTTTTTGAAATTTCAGAGATTTGGGTGTGTGTGTCTATTTGTACTCTTTGTTTTTAATTATGCAAAGGGTTCTTCTTTAAGTAGAGAAAAAGGTTAATCTTCTCAAACTGAAGAATGCCCACTGGATAGTACTAATCTGAACATCTGTAGGTAGTTGTCATGAAAAAGTGAAGTAAGGGTGAGACTTCCGAATGAATGAAAAAGGGTATCTTGATGCCCAAGAATTCCCCTCAAAGTACGGGTAATTCAACCTGCACAGTTTCCTTTCATAGTTTTTAGCAATTGTGAGTGGAAAATCATGTAAGTAGCTGTAAATATGTAGCTAACAAATTGACCTAGTTTCTGTATTTTTTTTATTTTTTATTTTTTTGGTTTTGTACTAAAGTTATAGGTCTGTGCCAGCTAGAAAGGAGTTGCTGTCATTGCCAGTTGTGGTTCTAGCATCTAACCCTGAAACCATCCTAGGTGACATTTTTAGAATAAATGCTTAAATGTTGTTAAACCTGGGGGAAATGAAGCTTAATTATTGGTCAGGTTTGAAATCTTTTGAAATTTAAGTAATTTTATTTAATATAATGATTACATGTTCTCAATCATGAGTAAGGTAGGGAGCCTCCCTCCCCCAGTGGCCATGTTTACAGTGTGTCTTGTCTATAAAGTGCAAGTGTGTTAATGTTTATGTAAATTACACAGGTGATAACATTATGGTTTGGGACTGTTTACGGGCTCCTTAACTGAATTTTCAAATGAAACGAACTATACTTATTGCTGGCACATTCATCCCATTTCTGGAACACTTTTCCTATTTCCAGAATTACATATGTTCCTTAGACATTACCCCCACTTAACTTCCCTTTTTCTGATATGCCTTGTAGCCAAGGTATTAAAGACTGGTGAATATAGATGAGGGAAATGCATTTTTTAAAAAATCCATGAACCCTCGATTGTATGCTTTCAGTACTTGTGTTATGTTTCTATGGCAACTTTGAAGTCAGTGGTTTAGAAATGAGATACCAGTGTTAATGAAAAGTGTGTACTCTTTGCTTTTGCATGGCTTGGCTTAGTATCCAAGGTATATTAGAGCCACTTGAAAGCATGAAGACCAGTTATATGGGAATAGGTTTCTATCAGTGGCACATTTTTGCTTTTTCTTAGCCCTCAAATACATTGCCTAGGCATGAACATTATTGTTAGTATAAATTGCACATGGTCATGGAGTGAATTATGTAATTAAAAAGGATGCAGCTGCCAACTGTATGCAGTTCCTAGCTATTGTGACAGTTTGGCACATATCAAAATACCTAGGGGGTATTGGAACATTTCTAACCCTTTTGGGGAATGTTAAACAGGTATGTTTAGTTTATCAAAATGTTGGCTGCCCCTAGTATATTGCCAGACAGCTGTTATTTGGTGCCCATTCCAAATGTGCTGTTGTCCTTCCTTTGCATTTCACACTACCAGAGAAACCACCACCCTTTCTTCCTAGCACATTTTCTGCCTTTTATTCCACATAAAATGGGAATTGTGCCTACAAAGAGTGCCCCTCCAATTAATTGCACGAGTCCCAAAACAATCCAAGCCGAAGACACAAGGTGGGAAAACATTTCAAAAAACAAAAAAACAAGAAGTCCACTTGAGGCCAGTAATTTGTCTAACAAGGTCTTTTACCACATTATCTTGACACTTGATATATGAGCCTATTAGGAGTTACAAGTGGTTTCATAGAGTGAAATCCAACTGAAGAGGGATGTGTGGGGTTTCTATTAAGAGATAGTTATTTTGTTTTTACTTTACCTTTCCTTTTATGATCCTTCTTTGCCAGGTTAGAACAGGTTAATTCTCCTATTTTTTTTTTAACTTTATAGGGAAATTTTTACAAAAGTGATGGTCTGATGTAAATAACATTTTAAAGTATAGTGCACATAACTTCCCCGGACTATTCAACCAGATTATTTGTAAATGCTTTAGAGTTTTTTAAATTAACACTTGTGTTGCTAAATCCTATTTATGTAAGTCTGCTAAAGTTTTTAACCCACTTAAAACCTTCAACATTTAAATAATGGATGGGTTACTATAAGCAATTTAGCTTTCAGAACCCCCTTGTTTTAGTATATGAAAAAGCCTAATGCACATTCATGAGGTTGGAGAGACTATGAGAAATATGTATAGTGTATATTTTAAAACAGCTTTGCTTGTATTGTGAAGATTTAAAAACAAACTTGAGATTTTTAACATAACTATTAACACAGTTTTAACATAAGTTATCCCACTGGGTTTAAGAGCATCTTGAATGTATAATCCTTTTTGTAACCCAGGTTGGTTTCTGCTTTTATCAGTCATTCAAACATTATTTATATTTTTAGTTTTATGTTCTCATTTCCCCTTGTTTTCCTTAAACAGCATGATTTTTTTTTTGCACATGTAGAAATTTTTAAAGAGAAAGAAATTAATACATCATTTTATCTGGATTTTCTTCACATCTCTCTTACTTTCTACTAACCCCTTCCTTAAAGGCCATATCACCCCATTTGCATTATTGGTGCAAATGCCAGGGTTGGTTTTTATTTTTATTTTTGCTATTTACCTAAAAAAAAAAAAAAGAAAATGCTTCAGTCAATTGCCTTTTTATTTAAAAAAAAAAAAAAAAGAAAAGAAAGAAAAAGAAAAAAAGCTGTAACCTTATCATTTCTGAGTAGACCATTGAGAGATGAATGCACACCTGTCATAGCCCAGGACCAGCTTTGGTGGCTAAAAGGGAATGTTTTAACTAAGCAAGATGTTCTTTTCTAAAAGTGGTATCTATTATCCATTCTATTTCAGTTATTCCCACAAGTCAGGGGTCCAGATAAAATGAGGGTTATCAGCTAACTGATATGTTATCATTGAGGTTCATCAATGAATTTGTACATTTCTAGTTCCCTTTGGTGAAGGGAAAAAATGATGATTTTGCAAGACCTAGATTTTGGCTTGGTTTCTTGCCTCCTTTTTTGGCAGCCTTCATCTTCTCATCTCCCAAAGCCCTTGAGCCTGTAGGGTTTTCATAGTGGACAAAGGACTTGTGGTCTTTTAAAACTGGGACTGATTTTTTGGTGAGAGTTTATTATGTTGAAAGTGTGGTGATGTTCTACCACTTTACCGATGACTAATTTTGAATATTCACAGTCCTCTCAATTTTTGGACCAAACAGATGCCCACAGTGGAGGCTTATCAAGGGTTGCAATGGAGAAGAAGCCTCTCCCTCACTGTCAGCACCAGCTGGTAAAGGTGACTGTACAGATGTGCATTTTCCTTTTGATAGAAATGGTCCACAGCACTAACTGGTAAGGCTTATTGTACAGTACATTGTCAGTATTCTTCTGGTTCAGCATACCTTATAGTTCATATATAACCTGTATTAATTGTATAGATTGTGCATTTAAAGCTGTTACCAAGTTGTCAGAACATAAGAGCGAAAACAAGGTCATATGTAATATTTTGTTTGTAAGTATCCTTTGTATCATAGCAAAGGAAATGTTTAAAAATCAACTGTAATAAAGTAATTTTAGTACACAGAGTGTCTGCTTGGTTTTTTAAAGTAATTTTATTCCTATAAAGATATATTTCAGGGTCAGGTGCGGTGGTACACCCTGTAATCCTAACAATTTAGGAGGCTGAGGCAGGAGGGTAGCAAGTTTGTGGCTAGCCTCAGCAGTTTAACAAGACCCTAAGCAATTTAGTGAGACCCTGTCTCAAATTTTTTTTTTTTTTTTTTTTTTTTTTTTTTAAAAAGAGCTGGGGATCAATGTTAAAAGCCCATGGGTTCATCCCTGGTAGTAAAAATAAAAAAGTTGTATTTCAAGTTAGTGACTATTGGGCACAATGTTGGGATTACAAAAGTGAGTAAAATATGCGTAAGAGTGAAGTACTTGATATAGACAGGAATGTTCTCGTCTAATTGTCTCAACTTCTTTTTACCCAGATAATGAAGTAGGCTATTGTGTTCTGGATGGAAGAGGAAAAATTTGTCCTCATTTGGGCAACACAGAATCCAGCTCATGAGGCTCAAAAGTGCTGCCCTTCCAGGGCCTTCCCAACTTTGCAGTGGAATGAGTTACTGACCTTCCTGGACTTGGAAGGTATTGATTAGAGAATAAGAATCTGATCTGGAGGCAGATTCCTCTTCATCATAGAGGTCTTCAAGCTCTGGTTGAGGATTTAAATAGCATTGGAGAATGGTATTTACAATGCTTTCACTATCATTATATCTTGGCAAACCTTATAAATTAAGGCTTATATTTGCCCTGTCTTTTCATATGGAACAATTAATAAAATGACTGTCCTAGGGTCATTTAAGCCCTTGATGAAGTAGAAACTAGAATCCACATCTCCCAAGTTACTACCTTAGTATTCTGTCTTACACACAAACGAATCACCCACTGAAAATCTATGTAGGTATCCTTGATGTTCAGGGAGTTTAAAACTTGCTGAGAAATTATTAGCCAGAGCAGGAGGCCTGGTTGTTGAATAAACAGAGCTGCTGCTAGTTAGTGCTCAAAGACCAGGCTAGATCCACAGAAGTGAGGCAACAATCAGGGAGTGCACAATGTGGGAGAGGCTCTGTTAAACTCCACAGCAGGTAAGCATGGCTCTGTACACAGAGGACTTCGGAAGACAAACAACACGTATTTGTCTATGAAGATTTAAGAAATAACATTCTGGTGTTGCAGGGAGACTGCAGTTTATTTACTATTCAGAGGCAAACAAGTTTGTTAAACCGCACTAGTGATATACACAGGGCAAGCTTGCCTTATTATCAGGGAAGGCAATAGAGTAGAGAGGGCTGGGAATGTGGCTCAAGCGGTAGCGCGCTCGCCTGGCATGCGTGCGGCCCGGGTTTGATCCTCAGCACCACATACAAACAAAGATGTTGTGTCCACCAAAAACTAAAAAAAAAAAAAAAGGTCAGAGAGACTTGCTGGTTTTTTTAAGTTATCGACACAATACCTTTATTTTATTTGTTTTTTTTATGTTGCTGAGGATCGAACCCAGGGCCTCACACATGCAAGGCAAATGCACTACCAACTAAGCTACAACCCCAGCCTGGAGACTTGCTTTTGATTCATTAATGTCTTTCATTGTTTTGATGAAATTTCATTTTACCTTAAGAACTTTAGCTCTTCCAGGATAGTTGTGACTAGAGCAAAATTACTCAAAAAAATGGATATCATTTTTTGTACTGGGGATTGAACCCAGAGGCACTCTACTTCTGAGAGACATCCCCAGTCCTTTTTTAGTATTTTGGGGTTATTTTGTTTGTCTGAGACAAGGTCTCACTAAGTTGCCTGGCTTTAAACTTGTGAGCCTCTTGCCTCAGCCTCCCATGTCACTAGGATTATAGGCCTGTACCACTATCCCCAGCTACTGGTATCATTAAAAAATACTCTGGTCACTTTGGTAGGGTTTTTTTTTTTTTTTTAAGAGAATTTTTTTTTTTTTTTTAGTCTTTATTTTTTAGTTTTCGGTGGACACAACATCTTTATTTTTTTATGTGGTGCTGAGGATCAAATCCAGCGTCCCACGCATGCCAGGCGAGCGTGTTACCGCTTGAGCCACATCCCCAGCCCCGGTAGAGTTGTTTTTAATTAAAATCTTTATTGTTTTCCCAGCTTCCAGTATCCAGGTCAGGTCTGTGATCTCTTGATTCTAAAAGCCAAAAAACAACCAGAAGTCTTCACAACTTACCGAGCTTTCAATTCACAGACTCAGATGAGAAAACACCTTGTCCCTTTGTCCCCCATGGTCCTGGGGATTGAACCCAAAGCCTCAAGCATGCTAGGCAAGCACTTTACCACTGAGCTACACCCCAGCCCTGAGCAAAGATCTTGTATCTGATCCAGGCCACCCTCACTTCTTGGCACATATTTTCTCCATGGTGAATGCCAAGGGTGGTCTAACTGGAATATCCCAACATGTAGATTTGCTTTCTGAGACATTGACTGCATTTCTGGGCACTCAGATCCTCCCACTGAGTGTAGTAGAACTCAAGCCTTCCTAAAAATAATCTTTATACATTGTGATAACAAGTGCAAACAACTTCTGATGTTGTTTTTATGCTTGACTGTAGAATTATAGATCTCTACTGGTGGTGGTAGGAAGTTCTACTGAAGTGGCCAGATGTATTTGTTTGTTGAAGCAGGAAGAGAAATTCATGCTAAAGTTCATTTCTAAGAGATGATAACTTGGCATTACTAAAGGTTTCTGACTGACAAAGGATCTTGTGGTTTGGATGGAAGATGAGTACCAAAGAGTTTCTGACTTGGGTGGTTTTGAGGTTATACATAAAGACAAGATGACACTTCCTGCATCAAGACTACTTTTCTTACAGTATTCAAGTCTTAGAAAGGATATCTTCATTCAAAACAGATGATGTCTTCTGAAAGAGAGAATTTGGTGCTTTGTTTTTCATACTATTGTCGCCAGCCAAACCATTCTGGAAGCCTATATATAAGTACATAAACTAAATCTTCAGGAGAAATTATACCTTAGCACAGTCTTGATATCAGAGGTGAGAACTTAGCAGAACTGAAAGTAACCTTCAGGGGCAGTTGTCTGCTTCCTACATTTTGATCCCCAAGTGGAAACAGGACTTGGTTTCTACTTCTGAGATAATGTCTCTCTTAAGTCATCAGCTGCTTTTTCCTTTATCATTTGAAGATGTTAATAAAGAGGCCAAAAGGGAGGCAAGCAAGAAGACCTGAGAGGATCTCTAAAGACTCAACACATGAAAACACCAATTCAGTGGTACTTTTTTTTTTTTTTTTTTTGGTGATGCTGGGGATTGGGCTCACACATGATAGGCAAGTTCTCTACCACTGAGCTATAACCCCAGTCCCTTCAATGGTAATTCTTAGAGATTTGTTTTATTGTTTTGCTTCCTTAAACTCAGAACCTGCCATTTTGTTCAAGGGACTACACCTCCTCAGAATAGTGTGCCTGGGTCTCCTCCAAATTCACTTGATTAGTTATTTACCAAAACAGAGCCAATCTGGCTAAATGACAGGGTCACCCAAACCTTTCCTGCTTGAACAGGAACTATACTTTCTTGGCAATAATGAACTTTTCAGCTTAAGTCTTCAAGCAGTGATGGGCAGAGATGAGAGAAATAGCTTCCTGGGATATGCAGTGAGCACATCTGGCCTGAGGGACATAGAGGAAATATGTTTTAGGATTTAGGTAACTGGGGCCTAGGGTCCTGGGGAACTAATGGAACCTGAACTAGAGCTATTCTGACATTCCTCTGAGAGCTTAAAGACTGTAACTGTACAGTGGTAGAGCACTTGTCTAGCATATGTGAGGTTCTGGTTTCAATCCCCAACACTGGGGGCAGGGGACAGAATCTAAAAACAAAACTAAAAAACTGTAGGAGTGGGCATAGGTGATACACACCTGTTATTCTAGCAACTTGAAGGCTAAAGCAGAAGGATCTCAAGGGTTTTGTTTTAATATTTTTTTTAGTTGTAGATGGACACAATACTTTTATTTATTTATTTATTTTTATGTGGTGCTGAGGATCAAACCTAGTGCCTCACACATGGTGGGCAAGCGCTCTACCACTGAGCTACAAGTCCAGCCCAGGATCACAATTTTGAGGCCAGCTTCAGCAACTTAGCAAGACTCTGTCTCAATAAATAAATTACTTACTTAAAAGGCTGGGGGTGTATCTCAGAAGGGGTGTGCTCCTGGGTTCAATCCCTAGTACCACCAAAAATTATAATAATTGTAAATGCAAAGTATGTACATTCCTCTCCTCTGTAAGCTTTCTTGCCTATATAAATGGAAAAGAAAGAAAAAAAACCTAGATAAATTTTTAAAAAATTAAAGAGAAAGGAAAATCAATTCTCTTGATGAATCAGAATCAGAATCCTGTGCTTTTTGGTCTAGAGAAACTACCCAGATTTTTGCCACCAGGGAATCATTAAGCCTTAAGGTTTAAAAACCATTTGGCTGCTTCCCATTTTGCAGCCTTAATGGTTGGTCCAAAGGCATATGGGACTCCAGGACCCTAATTAACTGAAATCCCCACTGTACCAGCTGTCAGTAATTCTCCCTTAGCAACCCTTTACCAAGGCTTCGGTTCACCAACGACAGACTGACTCTTTATATTCAGTTTCTTATATCTCTTGCTCAGATATGGTGAATGAATGTGAAAAAAAAAAAAAAAGGAGTGTGAAGGAGGAGGAGCAAGGAGTAGGAAGGAGGGTGATCATTTTTTCACAACAGAATATTGTGCCTTGGACAATTGAGTTGTATTTCAGTTTAGATTCTTGGAATTCAGAGTCTTTTCTTATTTGGTCTAAAAGAATAAGACTCGAACAAGATTATCCATACATGGTATCAGGGCCCTAGGAATAACTCATACCAAGCTTTGGGTTATGGCTTTTGGCATAAACATCTCTTTAAAATTGTTTTGCTGTTTGTGAGGTCAAACAGATGCCCTCTTTCCATTTATAAAATAAAATTGGGCTAGAGGCATGGCTCAGTGATAGAGTACTTGCCATGTGTGAAGTCCTAG